TATTTGGGAAGTGATGATTGAGCAGTCTCCTCTCAATCATCTAGGATGTTTAGTATATGTCCTTTGGACGCTATACGACGCATTCGCTCCTAAGTCATAGTCTCTAGTGCTGTACAAACTACATACAACTAAAAAACAGTTCTTCCGTAAAAGACAAAAAACAAACTTCAAACCTTTTTGCCCCGTGGGCCCATAATTCAAAGGAAGCTTTTCTGAAAAAAAGAGTGTCGTTAACTCTCAATTCTACCGCAAACGGTAACGCCTAAGTCTCCAAGGGTCGAGCTGCGTACACCAAACTGTTGGAACTGTTTGTTAACCCTACTCGAAAAAACAGATGAATATGATTCCCCCGTAATCCGTATTATCCCGAACTACGTAAGCTCTGATCTCTCAAGCCTGTTGAGAGTACGTAGGCACAATACTGATGTATTGGCGAGCCACCTTCCCCGTAACCCGTAGTTAGCCGAACTACGATGACTCTGATTTCTCGTTCTCTGATGAGAATACGTAGGCATAAAGTGTGACGCTTTGCCAAGTCATTTTCTTTTCTTTTCAGACTAGCCTTGATAGGTAGATAGATTGAACAAACCCGTCAGATAAACACAACAAGCGTGGATCCCATCGAGTACGATGGACGTGAGGGGTGCTAATACCTTTCCCTTGCGTAACCGACTCCCGAACCCAGACAATGGTTGCGATGACCTTGTCTTTACCTTTTCGTCAGGTTTTTTCCGATCGTTTCCTTTCCCGTTCTGAGGGATAAATAACGAAAGGTGGCGACTCTTCTGTTTTGCCGACACCTTATTTTCACGGTAGCGACAATACCTAACCACAGGATTTAGCTCTCGCTCGCCCGTTTTAATTAGAAAGCATGTTTTGAAAATCGATTAGATCCTAATCGATACCTAAAACGCTCTTGTTGTTTTTAGGATCGATGCCTAGTTTCCACTATCTGGTTCAATCCTCACACTCTCGTGCTATCGGCTCGAACCTTAGTTTACTTTTCACTCTCGTGACAAAAGATTAAGACATACAATTGGAATCTAAAATCAAAACATAGTTTATTATCGTTTCATGTCTATTATTTTCTATCGAGTCCCGTCGGTAACGACGGTCCTCATACGCCGGACTCAGACAAGTTTATCCAGACATGGTTGTGGAAATAAATAATTTTTTTGGGGTTTTTGAATTAACTAAAGGCATAATGAGTGGTTTAAAATATTTTAAAGTGATGTTTATAGAAAAAGGTAGAAGCTTGAAACAATAACAATGGTAAAAAAATAAAGCGTAAAAGTAAATGGCAGAAATTAAAGGCAAGAAAGTAAATACGATGAACGTAAATGAACCTAAAATAAAAACTGGAATGTAAATTGAGTTAAGAACTTAAAATAGCAGCAATATTTGATCCAACCATTACATATATTGTAGGCCTAAACACTAATATTGTGGTAGTTCCTCGATGTGAGAAAACTACCACTTTTACAATGATAATTTCTGCCTAAACCTACGAGCAACGCTTCCGTGTACAAAACTTGAATGATCTGAAATGTCAAGAAAAATACTATATATAGATGTCCCAAGTGCCTAATAACTTCTCAAAAACGTGCAGGGAAGTTGAGAAGATGTGGGGGAGTGGGCAAAGGGAGTTAAAACTAACTCCACGAAATTCTAGAACTGCAATATAATGGCGAACACCATTAGGGCAATGGTGAACGCCATTTCCTTGATACTTAAATGACGTGGTTGGAAAGGGCAATGGCGAACGCCATTTGCTCACGTCGAACGCCATATTAGTAAATTGGCAGAATTTGCTCTTTTTGCTGCTCTTTTGCTTCTTTTTCTGATTTTCTCGTACGAACACTCTTATTCGACAAATACCTGAAACACAAACATAACCCAACATAATAGTACGAAAAACAAGTAAAACGACATTAAATTGCATGTTAATAAATTCGGAATAAACGATACATTTTCACGTTATCAAAGATCATCACAAAGAGTACTCAAATAAGATTTAGAGAGTTTATATAGTACTTGTTCTGTGTCTACTGACTCAGAGTAAGAACCAACTTTGGATTATAAGTCTGAAAAGGTTTAGACCATCAAAGCAAAATTGGCCTTTTCATTTTCTCCTTCATTGTCGAGTTATTCTCATGTTGTCATGAGACTTTTCTTGAACTTGCCTCTGAAGTTGTTCTTCTGGAAGTTTTCCTTTCTACTATTGTCTTTATGAAGATCAAGACATTCAACAATTAAGTGACCAGACTTCTTGCAGGTGTAACAACCATCCTGATCTTTACTTCCTGAACTTGACCCTTTGAAACCATACTTTTTACCAGAGAATTTGTCCTTCTTCCTAGCCAAGTGTTGAAATATTTTGATGATAAAAACTACTCATCATCATTAGATTCTTTATTAGAAGCTTCATCATGAGTGGCTTCTTTGAGCTTTTTAGTTTGAGAGGATTTCTCATATCTCCCAATAGAATTTAAAGCCAAGGTTTTAACATGCTTTTCAGTCTCATCTCCATTCAACTTCGTTTCATGACTTTGGAGATTTCTAACAAGACTCTCAAGAATTAGTGCCTAGGTTCCGCCTGAGAAGGCCTTTCATAATTGGAACTCCATTTGCCTCATGGATCCGAGTATATTAGAGAGTATCTCTTGAGCACTAGGGAACCTTATTGAAATGCATGAGGGTGAACTTTCTTGTCAAAAGCTTTCTTGAGACATATATGGTAAAGTTGACTAGGGTAGAGAGCCATCAAGCGCTTTTCTTCTATGAGATTCAGCTGATCATATCTGGATTCCATATACAAGTGAGAATTGAGTTGCCCCAATAGAATTATTGATTAAAGTTTTGTAGCCATGCAGAGCAAAGGGAAACATCTCATGTCAATCCTTATAAGTCTTTGTCATTTTATGGACAATCTTTTTAATGTTTTTATTTGCTGCTTCTACGATGCCATTCGTTTTGGGCCGGTATGGTGAAGGTTGTGATGTTCAATCTTGAATTCTTGGCACAAATCTTTCATTATTTTGTTGTTCAGGTTACAGGCGTTGTCATTAATAATCATGCTAGGAACTTCGTAGCGACAAATTATTTCTTTCTTTGTGAGCCTTGTAACCACTTGTCATGTGACATTAGCATATGAAACAACTTTGACCCATTTTGTGAAGTAACCAATAGCAACTAAAGTGAAGCAAGGATTGTTTGAAGCTTTCGGCTAGATCATCCAATCATATCAATTCCCCATATAGAGAAGGGCCAATGTGATGTCAATATGTTTAATGGAATTGGTGACACATGGATCTTGTCAATATAGACCTGGCATTTGTGACACCTCTTGGCATAATTTTAACAGCCAACTTCCATAGTTGTCCAGTATAATTTTAACAGCCAACTTCCATAGTTGTCCAGTAGTAGCCAACTCGAATGATCTTTTTAGCCATACCAGGCCCTTTGGCATGGATTCCTTCATAGCCTTCATGGATGGACTTTATGATCGTGTGTACTTTGTCTATCCATGCATCTGAGTAGAACCAAATGATAATTAATTTTATAGAACACATCACCATTAAAGAAGAACTTGGTTGATATGTTTCCCAGAGCCTTCTTATCAGGGATGGAAATATTCTCGAGCTACTCTTGTTTCTCTATATGTACCGTGTTTTTCTGAAACAACAAATACTAGCTTCTATCAAACTTGAGGTATAATTGTTGTTTTGTAGTAATACAAAACATAGGCTAATTTCAAAAGAGTTGGGGAAAATATGGACTGATTTTGAAAAAAATAAATTGAAGAGTTAGGACTGAGGCTTCCGAAGTACTTTATATCTGAGCCAAAAGAAAACTAATACACTATGAAGAACAACAACTTCATATGTCACCAACTACACTATGGCAAAAACAAAACTAGATCTGAGCTTAAGTTTTCTACATTCAAACAAGTGTGATAGTGTGCAAACGGACAACATAAGAGAGAGCTAAATTAGAAATATAGAGAAACAGATTTAAAACAGAATGAAGATTTTCTGGTATTATAAGAACAACTAAACATAATTTGTTATTTATGAATAAAAACAAAAGTAAGGGATTACCAGTTCTCATGACAACTGCCGCTAAAAAGTCACTTGACCATCAAGGAAAAAAAGTAGTGCACAAATTTGTTCCACCGGATCAAAAAAATTCACCACATTTATGGTGCATCTTCAACACCAAAATTATTTCCCACCCTCTCTCATTCACTGTCCACCATCATATTGTATCCATAGTCGCTTAGCATTGGTACCATGTCCAACAAGCCATACAACGTCAACAAAGAGGAATTGCAACGTGGATAAAGGAACATTAGCACAACAATGTGCTTAAGACAATTTTTAAAATTACTTTAAAGTTGTTGAGGGTTACAATGTCATTGTGTGAGGATTAGAGTGAAACAAGACTGTGTTGTTCTCCAAGATCAAGAAGAAAAGGGATGCAAATGAGGGGAAAAAGGTCGGCCGATGAAAGGGGTACAGAGAGGGTGGAGAACATTCATGGAAAATGAACCTAGAGATCTAATACAACAGCTTAATCCAACTGTAAGGTACATGATCTATTTAACTGTTACACATTAGACACAACCTATTGTAAAAAAACATTCATAAAATTGCAAGAGGAAAGTAACAAATGACTAAATATAATCATCATAATGGATCAAATATAAAAATGTCATATTAATTTGCTAAGCAAAGATAACAAATTATTATAAAACCATGTCTGGTATGTAAAAATAAAAAAACCATGTCTGGTATGTAAAAATAAAAAACCATGTCTTGCATCCTTTACGAGTATGATTTGAAAGTCAAACAGGCATACAGATGCAGGGTTATTCTTGAGATTTGTCCTGGGAAAATGGGAAAACTATCTTTGCTTCACAAAAGGAAGGAGATGATGGAGATGATGACTATGACCTCTGCTTGTGATCCTTTGAACTTTAAAATCCAATGACGAAATTCTTAGAGCCTGCAAATTATTCAAAGAAGAACACGAGAGAAATCAAACATAAAACATTCAAGTCAGAGGTAAAGTTGCACTCAATGCAATAAAACAGACAATGGAAATGCTCAAAAGCAAACCAAACAATTCTAACATAATAAATCACAGTATAGCACAACCATACATCACCAACATGAAAAACATACATTACCAACATGAAAAACATCACGTCCGGCTTCTTTATGTAATGATGTCAAAAAAAAATTCCAAGACTTAATAAAATATAAATGATCAGTTAGCAGAGTCTGAGTAGCTGACTAGAGTAGAACAATATCTTAAATAGATCTAGAAGCACATTTCTAATATGACTGGCTCTGGATAAACACAATCCTCCATCACCCGTTTGAGTTTCAATGAAACAAAGAGGTCAAATTAACCATAACAACGATCGAAGATACATCATTTCCAATGATGTAACAAGGAGTTAGTTAACTACACAGCACATAAGCCCGGTAGTTTCAGCTACAAAGAAGCACATCCAAAGCTAGCCCCACACACAAAAAAGAAAGTTACTAGAGCCCAAATTTTGATCTTTTGGTCAATCTCAGTGGCCAACCTGGCTCACGTGAAAGGCCATTGGGAGAATCTCCCTCATGCACAAATTTGCTATAGTTGGAAAAAAAATATGCAGTGCAATCATTGCACTTAGTGAATTGGGACTATTGGATGAAGACCAATTGACCCGCAATATCAGCAAACCAAATTCAAAACACAATCTTAACATGTGAGACATAAGATTTTTCATGCAACAAACTTGAATTCATTAAATTACCAAAATCCATGGTTTCCTACAAGAATAAAGACGCCTTAGATTCTATACAATTACAATTTCAGTAGTTGCAGATCTAAGTTATTGGATGAAGACCGGATGACTAGCGTTCCAAATTGTATTTTACATTTAAAACAGATTTGGGGAATGTAAAATACAAGTAGACCAATCTTCATCCAACAATAAGTACCCATTAACACAACAACATCAGGGTTTGGCAACTGGAGATTTGCTGCAACAAAAAACCCATAATTTCACTTCTGTTCGATGAAGTCTCTAATAAATTGGAGCCTAGATGAAGACCAAATAAAGAAACTCTAAACTCAATCTTCATCTAAAAGTTCCAATTCGCTAACTGGAGTGACTGCGTCATTTATTATTTACATAAAATGAGGCTCCACATGGTCCCAGCCTGACTTGGGGAACTGCATTTGTGCCTACCATCTAAGCATCACAAATCCTAAGCACAAAAGATCCAACTTCCTAACAGCTGAATTCATCCACAAGAAAGGAAGTTGCTAGAACCCAATCTTGATAGCCAGCCTGGCTCATGTGGGAGGCCATTGGGAGAATCTCCATCTTAGGTATGCAGTTCAGGCATAAACTTGATATAGTCTAAAAAATGATGCAATCATTGCAATTTTAAAACGAGAACTACCGGGTGAAGACATAATGACTCACAATCCAATATGTGCAACCAAATTCAGAATACAGACTTGATATGTGAGGCTGTAAAGTCTTCATCCAGTTTACAATCCAATGTTTAATTTTGACTACAACATATTTGTATTCATTGAGTAACCAAAACCCATGGCTTCTGACAAGAATCATGACTCAAGATTCTCTATAGACACAATTTCAATAGTTGCAGATCTAGGTTGTTTGATGGAGATCGATTAACTCATTATCCAAATTGTATTTTAAACTAGATTTGGAGGAAGCTAAAATACTAGCAAACCGATATTCATCCAACAACATAGATCCACTGAACCCAGCATAAGCAAGGTTTGGCAACTGTAGATTTGCTGCAATAAAAAACAAATGTTAGAATCAGTCTCTATCAAATTGAAGGCACTAGATGGAAAAACTGGATCAAGAACCCTAAATCCAATCTTCATCTAGTAGCTCCCATTTGCTAAGAGTGACTACATTCATTACCTGCTTCAAATGAAAGTCCCCATGATCACAACCTGAGAAGGGCATGGGGAACCCCATTTGTGCGTACCATTTAAGCATCCTAAACCCTAAACACAATATCTAACTTCCAAACAGCTAAATTCATCTACAATCAAAGCACATGGCACGTGAACTTACAAAATAAAAACAACTGAATAAATAACAATAACCATTAACACACCAAAATAAATAGATAAACAAAATTCACAAGATAGCAACAAAACAAAAGAAATAGAATTGACTACCTGGGAGCAGCAGAACCAATGTTGAGATTGCGATGAAGAATCCTACCAGGGGCGGGATTGACAACACCATCAAACAAATCCTTTAAACCTTTATCAGCCGCTGCATCTACTCGAGGCGGTGTGGGAGGACACTCCTCAGGCATAATCCTTTGAAAGTAATTTCCATAGGTATACTCAAGAGAAAATTCAAGCTCTTCAGTGTATCGCGGAATGTGACCATGCCATTCCCACACTACATACTCCCCTTCTTCTTCGACATGAAACCCAACAGCAATGCTACTTTCACGAATCATAACCGTTTCACCAGAATTAGGCTTCAGCGTATGCGATTTCCCATTGAGAATCCGGTAAACGACTTCAGCTTCAATCCGAGATTCTTCTTGGTAGGTTGCGCTTAGTCCGTTGTCTTGGTGGGGATGGGGCTCGTATTCTAGTTCTTCTTCTTCGTCGGAAATGAAATCCTCGTCGGTAACTTGGTTGTCTGAATTTTGAACTTGAAGGCTGCGCATCAGGTGGTGGAGGAACATATTGTCGAGGCGGTTGACAGAGGAGGAAGAGTTGTTTGGAGGGGAGCTCATGCTGTTTGATGAAAGTTCTCAATGAAAATGATTGTCTGGGTTTTGCGAAACGGAAACGGGTTTTACAGGGTTTATGAAAACACAACCCAACCTATATATATTTTACAGCTGCCACGTTTTTAAATTTTTAATTAGTTTTTAGATCCCTTATTTTTAAGCGAAATTTCTCTTTAATCTTTGAATTAAAAAACGTTAATGATCTTTTAATTTATCTTTCGTAAACTATTTGATCTATTCCTTTAGTTTGGGTGGAAAATGTTAACTATGAGTGAGGTGACATGTCAGATATGCAAACTGTATTATGAACACTTAGCTATTGTTCATCTTCCTTCTTTATTTTTCACTATTCATCCATCTTTCATTAGTTTGTGGCTTCCTATTCTTCCATTGTTCAGAAGTGTGTATTGTAAAGTGATTTTTCGTGAAGACAGACCTCCATATTTTTCGTGAAGGCAGACCTCCATATTTAAAACAAAGTCCTTTTTGACGGCGGTCAGAAATCTCCTGTGAAGACAAACTCCTCACAGTTCGGTCACGCCAATTTCCAGTGCTGGTTGTATGAGTTTTGGTTTGTCTGAAACCAAATACTCCACGCGAACCACCAGTTGATTTTCCTCTTGAAAAACGATCTCCATTGTATTTATTATTACGAACCATAACCCAATCGTCATTTCTGCCTTCATTATGTGTGACAACCTTATTACCAAAAACAGATCAGGACAGTGATCCATGTGAGCTTCGCGGTGTCCAGTCTTTTCGCCCTTCTTTCAATTCACACTCTACTTCTCGAACCACGTTCATTAACTTCGCTATTGATATAGGACCCATAGCGATCATGCTGCGAACCTTTCCCCTTATTTTTTCCTTCAAACTATGAAGGAAATAACCCAAATATTGGTCATTGGATAATCGAGACAGTTGTGCTACTAACTTCTCAAAATCTTCGATGTGTTCTTCAATTGTTCCTTCCTGTTGAAGCGTAAAAAGTTGTTCAAATACATTCCTCATCACTTACACTACCATACCTCTTAAGAAGTGCATCTTTCAAATTCTCCCATGTCAATGTTTCATTCTCCTCCAACAGTCCTTTGAAAAAATAAATTGTAGGACCATCCATACATAATTGTGCCAAATTCACTTTGATTTTAGGTATAGTATTATGCACATTGAAATAGACTTCCGCCCTAGCAATCCAACCAGCAGGATCCTCATCATTAAACATCGGTAATTCCACCTTCTTCACAGATAGACAAAATTCGTCTAAAGCTTCGCCTAGTAAGCCAAATTTTTTTGGGTACCAACTGCCCATTATCGTGCAACGATTCTCCCACACCCCTCTCGTTATTCGAATTTAATAAAGGGACGATCTTCTCCTGATTATCTTTATTTTGATTTTGCATTTCATGTAAAGAAACCTCCAGAATTTCGAGTTTCTCTTCAAGTGCAGTTACTATGGCCTCCATCTTCTTCGGTGACATCTGGTAGGTCGGACCAATTTGATACAATGAACAATATCCGATAGAACAGAATTATAGAAAAAGAGAAATTGCAAAAAACTTGCAATTTTTCATTGATAAATAAAGGAAATACAATCTGAAAACTACAATAGCAGTTTGCTCTCTCAGAAGATAAACTTCTTTTGACCTAGTAACTTATCAATAAACTTCTCAATAATAACTCCCCTAATAAAACAATAAACAACTTAAATACAATTCACAATATCAGCCAATAACTAACTATTTGAATTTAAATTAACACGCTAAAATTATATTACTTATTTATTTTATTTATCGTTTAATAAACCCTCCAAATGATGAATTTGCCTTTTTCTGTGCTATCAATAGGCTTCACAACTCGTTGTTCTTTTTTTAATTTCATTTATTAGAAATTTGGGATGATTTTATAAAAAATTATGTTTGATTTGTCTTTTTTTAAGATTTACCCGTTTCTTAGTGGGATTCGACATAATCCCCACTTCTTGTGTAATTTTTTTTCTTAATATTATGACCTTTATTTATAAAAAAAAAATAAATCTTAATTACGAAAGAATTAGGAAAAATAAGAACTGATTTTCAAGAAAATAAATTGAAGAGTTAGGGCTATTTCTTGTGAAGTACTTCAAATCTGAACCAAAAGAAAACCGATACACTGAATAACAAAGTCCATATCTCGCTAACTACATTATTGCAAAAATAACTCTAGATCTGAGCTTAAATTTTCTCCATTCAAACAAGTGTGTGATAGTGTGCAAACGGGCAACGTTAAGAGAAAGCTAAATTTAAAATATAGAAAAACAAATTTAACAGAATGAAGATTTTCCTGGTATTATAAGAACAACCAAACACTAATAGGAGTGTATAAATAAGAGGGATTATCGGTTCTCGTGATAACTGCCGGTAAAAATATTACTTCAGCCTCATGACATTTATTTTCCATGTGCGTTGATGGGGGAATTGTACCACGGAAAATAAGCAGTGCACAAATTTGTTCCACCGGATCAAAATAATTCACCACATTTATGGTGCATCTTCAACACTAAAATTTTCTTCCATTCCCTCTTATTCACGGCCCACCACACTAACCCAAACCACTCTCTCAAAAACCAGTTTCTTTGATGCACCTTAAGCACCAGATTCAAAGACCGGGATGCACCTGGACCAGCCACACAACGTCAACAAAGAGGAATTGCAACATGGATGAAGGGATCATTAGCACACCAATGTGTTTAAGATAATACAAATAAAATTGAATATGTAGGAAGGAACATCCAAAATAAGGAGACTGGGGAGTTATTGCTGCAGGTAATTTTACTATTGAGTTGGAAGTGTTGGGCGGATGAACTGTTGGGTTGTAAAAATTACTTCAAGATTGAGGTTTACAATGTGATTGTGTAAGGATGAGAGTGAAAAAAGACTGTTCTCCTGGATGAAGAAAAAAAGGTTGAGATATTGAAGCAAAAGGTTGTGAAAGGGAAGAGAAGAGATGCAAAGGAGAGGGAATAGGTCGGCTAATGAAAGGGGTAAGGAGAGGGTGGAGAACGTACGTGGAAGCTCAGCCTAGAGATCTAATACAACAACTCAATCCAACTGTAAACAAAAGTCATGCAAGGTAGCAGACATACCTAACTGTTGCATAACACAACCTATTGTTAAATAAAATTCTTCATAATAGTGAAAGAGGAATGTAACAAAATGGCAAAATATAATCATAATATAATGGACCAAATATAGTGTCATATTATTAATTCTCCAAGCAATGATAACGAGTTATTGAAAAACCAATGTCTGGTATCTAAAAAATAAAACAATGTCTTGCATCCTGTACAAGTATGAATCGAAAGCTCAAACAGGTATACAAATGCAGTCTTATTCTTGAGATTTGTACTGGGAAAATGGGAAAACTATCGAAAGCTCGAACAGGTATACAAAGCAAACGAAACATGAAAATCCTGTACAAAATTACAAATGTAGTCTTATGATGATGATGACTACGACCTCCGCTTGCAATCCTTTGAAATTGAAAATCCAATAACAAAATTCTTAGAGTCTGGAATTTCTTCATAGATGAACATGAAAGAAACCAAACATAAAACGTTCAATTCAGTGGTAAAGTTGCACTCAATGCAATAAAATAGGCAATAGAAATGCTCAAAAGCAAACTAAACATTTCTAACATAATAAATCGCAGTGTAGCACAACAATACACCACCATTCACCAACATGAAAAACATCTCAGCTTGCTTTTTTATATAATAATGACAACAAAAAAAAAACAAGACTAAATAAAATATAAATGATCAGTTAGCACTTAGTAGACTCTGCAAAGCTGACTAAAGTAGAACATTATCGTAAATTTGCTATAGTTGAAAAAAACCGTAGTGCAATCATTGCAATTAGTGAATTGGGACTATTGGATGAAGATCAATTGACCCGCATTCCAATATCTGCAACCAGATTCAAAACACAGACTTCATCCAACAATAAGTATCCATTAACAAAACAACATGAGGGTTTGGGAACTACCGGATGAAGACATAATGATGCAATTATTACATTTAGCAAACAGGAACTACCGGATGAAGACATAATGACTCACAATCCAATATCTGCAACCAGATTCAAAACACAGACTTGATACGTGAGGCTGTAAAGTCTTCATCCAACTCACAATCCAATGATCGATTTTGACTACAATAAATCAGTATTCATTGAGTAACCAAAATCCATGGCTTCCGACAAGAATAATGACTTAAGATTCTCTATAGTCACAATTTCATTAGCTGCGGATCTAGGCTGTTTGATGAAAAGACCGATTAACTTATGGTCCATATTGTATTTTAAACCAGATTTGAAGGAAGCTAAAATATTAGCATACTGATATTCATCCAACAACATAGATCTACTGAACCAAGCGAAAGCATGGTTTGGCAGCTGCGGCTTTGCTGCCATAAAAAACAAATGTATTCACTACAGTTCAAATCAGTCTCTATCGAATTGAAGCCACTAGACCAAAACCGGATCAAGAACCCTAAATCCGATCTTCGTCTAGTAGCTCCCATTTGCTAACTGGAGTGATTACATCATTTATTACCTGCATCAAATGAGGTCCCCATGATCACAACCGGACTATGGCATGGGAGCCCCCATTTGTGCGTGTACCATTTAAGCATCCAAACAGCTAAATTCATCAACAACCAAAGCATACAGCATGTGAATTTAGAAAAAAAAACTGAATAAATAACAGTAAGCATGCACACCAAAACAGATAAACAAAATTCACAAGATAGCAACAGAACAAAAGAAATTGAATAGAGTACCTGGTAGCAGCAGAACAAAAGTTGAGATTACGATGAAGAATCCTACCAGGGGAGAGATTGACAGCACCATCAAACAAGTCCTTCAAACCCTTATCAGCCGCTGCATCTACTCGAGGCCGTGTAGTAGCACGCTCCTCCGTAACAATCCTCTGAAAATAATTCCCATAGATATACTCAAGAGAAAACTGATGGTCTTCAGTGTACCTCGGAATGTGACCATGCCATTCCCACACAATATACTCCCCTTCTTCTTCTTCCACATGAAACCTGACAGCGATACTGCTTTCACGAATCATAACCGTTTCACCGGAATTAGGCTTCAGCGTATGCGATTCCCCGTTGAGAATCCGGTAAACGACTTCAGCTTCAATCCGAGATTCTTCTTGGTAGATTGTTTGGAGTCCGTCGTCTTGGTAGGGACGGGGCTTGTCATCTTCATATTCGTACTCTTGCTCTTCTTCTTCGGAGATGAAATTCTCGTCGGTAACTTGGTTGTCAGAATCTTGAACCTGAAGGCTGCGAAGCAGGTGGTGGAGGAACATGGTGTCGAGGCGGTGGACGGAGGAGGAAGAGTTGTTTGGAAGGGAGCTCATGGTGTTTGATGAATGTTCTCACTGGAATGATGGACAATGGTTTGACGAAACGGTTATGGGGTTTACAGGGTTTAAGTAGAAAACACAACTCTCTAGATCATTTAAAAAAATAAAATAATAATGCCGTTATTTTTAAATATTTAATAATTTTAAACTATTTTGGAAGTGATAATTATATGAATAGTAAGAAATAAAAATTGAATTATAAAACTAGTAAACCTCTTATGCGTTTGACTTTCATTTTATAAACTACTATTTAAGATTTATTTACTTTGAAAAGAAATGAAATTTCATGAATCATATACTATTAAAACTTTTTTATTAAATAAAATAATTTTAAATATATAACTAAAGACCTTATTATAAAATTAAAATAAACTCAATATCCATTGTTTGAAAACACAATATAACTAATCCTCACTGAATTCAAATTTGATTATAAAATAATATTCATTTATTTGAAAATACAACATAATAATTTCTAACTGTTTATAAATTTGATTATGAAATAATTGTCGCTTGTTTGAATACACAACGAAATTATTCTTAACAATTTTCAAATTTGATTACAAAATAATATTTCCTAACTATTATTCCTAATTTTTCTAAATTCGATTATAAATTAATATTCACTTGTTTAAAAATGCAATGTAATTATTTTTAATCGTTTTTATATTTGATTATAAATTTGATCTTATCGGGATCAGAAGAATATTCAGTGGTCAACAACACGTCGTAAACTCCAAGTTCACCGGTGGTGGAGAAGAGGAGAGAGAGTGTACTTGCAAGACACTCTGATGTCAAAGTGAGGTTCAGAGTGAAAGAGAGAGCAAGTATAGATAGTGAGTATGAATTAAAATATCTGACCCTCCTGTGGAGGATGATATTTATAATGAGCCCCTAACGTTGGGCCAACGATCATCTACTGTAGGCTGGATCGTAAGGCTCATAACACATGACTGTCAGGATCCTACGTGGAGGTAGGGAAGACTAGTACGTGGTCTTCGTCCTAGGTCAATTGCCTACGAACTCCGGGAAGTGGATGACCTATTCTCAAGGACGTGGGTTCAGCTGGTGATGTGTTCCCGCGTGAGGAGCACGTGGAGAATGTGTGGGGAACGTTACCTCTCGCAGTGATGGATAATTGGGCCTTTGTGTTGGGCCCTCCCCAACGCGGAGCTGAGTTGGGCTGTGCCCGACGATGGGCCAATCCCAGGCCCAATTCAGAACAGAAGCCCTCCAAGTCGTTGCTCCGAAGTAGAAGAGTAATGACTTAAGAGTCAATTCTTACCTCGAAGAGGGACAAAGGAGATTTTCCTAGGGAGTGTCGCCCGGGTTCGAGGTGGTGAGCTCGTGAAGCTATGCTCGCGGAAAAACGTGAAAGTTAATCATCGTGCCCGACAGAGCGAACATATGGAGATTTTCACCAAGACACTGCCCGCAAGGTTTGCGCATGCCTGACGTCAAGGTCTAGTTTTGCGTTTATCTCGAAGCCATGTCCTCGCAAGGGGCCAAAGTCGTTATCCATGCTCGATAACGTGACTTGTTTCAAACCTTTCTCAAAGGATGTGCCCGTGATACAGTGTGAGAGTCGAGCATTACGGGCAAGGCTTGAAGCGACGAACTCTGGGACAAGTGAAGGAGGTGGAAGGAATAGACACATCATTTTCTCGAGTCGTGTGTTGGGGCTTGAAGAGACAAGAGTGACGTCTTTTGAGCCATGTGTCAAAAATAATTAATGTGTCTGACGGGCTATGAGTATGGGTCCTCGAGGGTCTAGATGATGGTTCATTATGCGTGTCAGCGCATATAAGTATGAGGAGAGGGGATTCATTTGTTACACTCACAGTTCCCAAGCTCTTCAAGAATTTCTCCAATTTTTCTACTCTCTCCAACGCTCACTCGCAGTTGTCGTTGCCGCCGTCAGTTCTTCCCCTGCCACCGTAGATTTTCAGAATCTCCTCCATACACGTAAGTTTCCTCTGTCTTTTCCAACTAGTATGGTAATGGTTATTTCTAGAACGTAACTTTAAGAATGCATGTTCCCGGACGCTCATGAACTTCGCGATGAAGTTATACGTCTTCTGGCGATTTCTATGAATTTCCCAACGTGTTCTTGAACTTCTGACGAACTTCATGAGGTTCTGATGAAGTTTTCAGGGAACTCATGAAGTTTCCGATGAAAATTATGGGTAACTCATGAAGTTTTTGATGAAGATTATGGGTAACTCATGAAGTTTTCGATAAAGATTCTGGATAACTCATAAATTTTTTGGGGAACTCATGAAGTCTCTGATGAAGATTCCAGGGAATTCGTGAAGATTTCGGGGAACTCATGAAGTTTACGATGAAGATCCTGAGGAATTCGTAAGGCTTTTGCGTCTTTGCTGGGCTTGACATTAGGGAACTTTCTCCTTGTAGGAGTATAGAAACTCTGAAAGTCTCTTGTGAGTGTTGCACCCCAAAATTTGACCAACTGGGTCTCGCATTTGGCTCGATGTTTCGACGCATAATCGCATTCGCATTTGCATATTGCATACAGTGCATTTTTCATTTGTATTGATTTTATCAGGGATCACAGCTCCCGTCTCGTGTTTCAGGTGTTTTTGATCAGTAGAATCGATTTTTGGGTTATTGCGGTGCCCGTTTATTTTTACCGATTATTTTTGTGTCGTTCGGTGCTCATTTTGTCCCTCCGGGAATTATGGTGATTTTTCTGGATTTTATAGGATTTTTTAGGGCTTTAAATAGATTTTTAGATCATTTTTAGGGTTAATAGGATTTTTTTTAATGGATTTTAAATCATTTGTAGATTTTTTTAATAGACTTTAATATTTTTAGATAATATAGTAATATAGTTTTTAGATTTTTAATAGAATTTAAATAGCATTTTCCATTTGTAGAATATTAATAGCTTTTATCATTTTTAGAATATTAGTATAAAATTTAATAGATTAAATAGTTTTAATATGTTTTAATTCATTTTTTAGATATAGAGATTAATAGTCTTTTTTCTTTTATAGAGTTTAATAAATAATAGTCTTTTTAGATTTTAATATAGGTTTTCAGAAATTAATTAGATTAGTTTCAGATTTAATTAATTGAGAGTAGTTAATTAGGGTTTTTTGGTCTTAATGCAGTTTTCCTGATTTTTTTTAAGATTAGTTTCGTTGGGCCCAAAGTCAATCCGCAGGCCCAGTTTGAGCATTTTTGTCCAGAATTCTGATCCAAGCATCCAAAAAATTTCCAGCTCAGTCCAGCACTCTCCAGATTCGTCCAGAAGGTTCTGGAGCAGTCCAGAGAAATACCAGCTATAAATGCCAAGTGCCACGTGTTGCTTGAAGAGAGGGTCCCACGAGTTTCACACACCACACCGCCACGTAGCCCTCAGCCTTCTCTCTCTCTCAGCCACGCGTGGGACACGCGTCCCACATGCAGAGAGCCACTCCACTTCCTCCACCACGTGCCATCCCCAGCTCGCCTCGCCTGAGACCGTCACTGGCCGGCCTGCATGGCCGGCGACCGCCATAACCTTCACCGGCGAACACCAAAACCCAGAAGAAACCCAGATCGTCTTCATCTTCTACCTCCCGTCTTCATATTTGTGACCTCCACCAACCTTCATCATCAACCCAGAAAAAACCAGAACGATGAAGATTCATCATCGTCAATGAATTGTTCATCAATCTTCATGACCTTCCCCAGAAACCACCACCGATTCTCCAGAAAAACGCCAGAAAATTCCAGATCGTTTCCAGAATCATCACCATCTTCATCTTTTTCCAGGAGTTCGTTCAAGATTCAACAGAACACAAGAAACTTCATCAATCTCACCAAGAATCTTCAACAAACTCTCAAGAACATTCATGCATGTGTTCATCCGTAAATCTCCAGATTCGGTATTGCTTGTCTAGCTTCTTCGGAAGCACGTGAAGATTCAACGATCCACCAAAAGATCCTCAAGCAATCATCATCAATCCAAGAACGCGTCACCAGAAGGATCCTCATAAGCGATCATCCATCTTTTCCAGAAATTCCCCTATCAAGAACATGCAAGATCCTCGTCTTCTTCCAAATCTCCAAAACGAAGTTCAACAAACAAACTTCAAGAACACTCATCAAACGGAGAATGCTCCATGAACTCTCAGATCATCAATCTTCATCAGAGATCCATTGAAGTTCATCAAGATCTTCACTCAGCGAGATTCCTCACGCGATCATCAACACCTTCTAGATCTTCATCTGTGGCGTATTTTCCAGAAAGTTTCCCAGAAACATCTTCACCATCAAGACGCATCGTTCTCTGTTCGAAGCTTCGTCGTGTATCAAGAACACCTTGAAGAGCATCTCAGATTCCCAGTTCCATGAGGTCATCAGGATCCTCGCTCATCAACATCTTCGTCCGGCTACATTTTTTTCCAGATCCACAAGGGATTTCACCGGCGTTCGTCACTCCTCAAGAATGTCAAGGATGGATTGCGAGGGGTTTTGTTGTTTGTTCTTTTGTTTTTGCAAGTGGTGAAGCTAAGGTTGAGTGTGAAGATGAACGAGAACGGAAGGACGGAGGACGGGAGAGATGAGAAGATGGAGGTCTACGGCGGCGGCTGGGAGGAAAATTCCTCTAGGGTTTCAGAATGGAGTTGAGAAGGTGGGGAGGAGAAGAATGGGCCTCAGGGCCCAACTACTTTTTTTTGGCAACTCCTTCACGTTTTTGGAACAAGTTCTGGGCCTAAAGCCCAATGTTTCCCAGACACACCCATTCAATCTTCACACCCCCTGCTGCGTTTTTGAGAGACTTGGGCTGGGCCCAGATTATTTGTTTTTTATTTTTTCTGTTATCCCCCTATTGACCAGTTACACCCCCAGCCCCATTTTCTTGTATTTTTTTATTATTCTTTTAAAGATTTGAAAAGAAATAGAAAATGAAAAGAAGAAAAATAGAAAAAAATATATTTGGAAAAGAAAAGAAGAAAAATAGAAAAAAATATATTTGGAAAAGA